TTTGGCTATTACACTCTCCCTACTTAATTAAAAGTTTCGTCCTTAAAACTTAACATACCTATCTCTCGAAGAGCTCTGGATATCTCTCTCGCATAGAATCTTCAGTCTCCCAAGTAGCTTCTCTTTCAGTGTGATTCTTCCACTAAACTTTCACATATTTGATTATTCGGTGTCTAAGTACTAGTTCTTTATAATCCATAATATGTTCTGGTATTTCCTCATAGGTCAAATCTGGCTTGAGCTCCACTAGAGACAACTCAACGATCTCATTTAGATCTCGGATGAACTTTCGAAGCATCGATATGTGAAATACATCGTGTACTCCAGGCAGGGATGGTGGTAATGCTAATATGTATGCCACTAGACCAATGCGTTCCAGAATTTCAAAAGGACCGATAAATCTCATGCTTAACTTCCCTTGGATTCCAAATCTTTTCACTCCTCGGGCAGGCGAAACCTTCAAGAAAACATGATCGTCCACCTGGAATTCCAATTCTCTTCTTCTTTGGTCAGCATAATTCTTCTGAGGACTTTGTGCTGTGCGAAGACGTTCTCGAACTAATTGAATTCTATCAATTGCTTGTTGTACCAATTTTGGTCCAATAAGTTTCCTTTCTCCAACATCATCCTAATGAATAGGAGACCTACACTTTCTTCCATAAAAAAGTTCATATGATGTCATCTGAATGCTAGCTTGGTAACTGTTATTGTATGCAAACTCGGCCAAAGATAGATAATCTTCCCACGACCCTTTCATTTCTAGTACACAACATCTCAACATATATTCCAGTGTTTGAATTGTCCTTTCTCATTGGTCATCTGTCTATGGATGATAAGCTGAGATGAAATTTAGTTTAGTCTGTAGAGCTCTATGCACACTTTTCTAGTATTCTGATGTGAACCGAGGATCTCGGTCAGAAACTATTAATATTGGTACACCATGCAATCTCATTATCTCGTTAATGTATATTTTAGTCAGTTTTTCTAATGAGAATTTCATATTGATAGGTAAAAAGTGTGCTGACTTTGTTAACCGGTCCACAATTACCCATATTATATCATTATTTCTCAAATATTTCAGAAGGCCAGTGACAAAATCCATGGTGATCTTTTCCCATTTCCACATTGGTATATCTAAGTTATGGACTAATCCAGCTGGTCTTTTGTGCTCAGTCTTTACTTGCTGCCAAGTGAAACATTCTACAACATAAGTGGCAATTTTCTTCTTCATATTATTCCACCAATATATTTCTTTCAGGTCTTTATACATTTTTGTTGATCCAGGATGCATAGTATATAGAGAGTGATGTGCCTCCTTTAGAATCTTTTTCTTTAGGTCTGGTATGTTAGGCACACAAACTCTAGTTCCAAACCTCAATGATCCATCTTTATGTATCTTAAATTCTCTTCGAGTGCCTTCTTCTACATCTTTCTTTATCTTCAACAGTTGAGGATCATTCTGCTAGTTTGCTTTAACTTCATCTAGCAAAGAATGTTGTATTATCATATTTGCTAATTTAACTCCAATTTGGTGGACTCTAATTTCAATTCCAGTACGATCCAAGTCTTCTAATATTTTTCTTTGAGAAGTAATTAGGCAAGCTAAATTGTATGAATTCTTGCGGCTTAAGGCATCCGTAACAACATTTGCCTTGCCAGGATGATAATTGCTGGTCATATCATAATCTTTCTGAAGCTCCAACCATCTTTTTTGCCGTAAATTCAACTCCTTCTGGGTAAATATATATTCCAAACTCTTATGGTCAATATATATTTCATAATTACTCCATATAAATAATATCTCCAAAGTTTGAGAGCAAACACTACTGCCGTTAACTCAAGATCATGAGTGAGATAGTTTTGTTCATAAGGCTTTAACTGCCTTGAAGCATATGCTATGACTTTTCCATTTTGCATAAGTACACACCTCAATCCTCTTCTAGAGGCATCACTATAGATAGCAAAACATGTGTCTCCATTGGGTAATGTAAGTATTAGAGCAGACATTAATCGACTTTTTAACTCTTGAAAGCTTTGCTCACATTCTTCTGACCAAATAAATTTAACTCCTTTCTGAGTAAGACGAGTTAGAGGTGAAAAAATACGGGAGAATCCTTCTATAAAATTTTTATAGTAGCCAGCCATGCCAAGAAAACTACGAGTCTCCGTTACAGTAGTCGGTCTGTCTCATTTAACAATAGCTTTTGCTTTTTCAGGGTCCATAGAAACCCCTTCCTTAGAGATGACATGCCCAATAATTGCTACTTCCTCCTACCAGAATTCATATTTCTTAAGTTTCACATACAGTTGTTCTCTCTTTAATATGTGCAACACCTGTCTCAAGTGTTCTTCATGTTCTTCCTTACTCTTTGAGTATATCAGAATATCGTTAATAAATACCACAACAAACCGATCCAAGAACGGTTTAAATACTCTGTTCATAAGATCCATAAATGCTGCAGGTGCATTTGTGAGCCCGAATGGTAAAACTAAAAATTCATAATGACCATAGCGGGTTCGAAATGCAATTTTTGGCACATCTTCTGGCTTGGTTTTTAATTGATAATAACCAGAACAGAGATCAATTTTG